CTGAATGCAATGATGTGGAGGTGCCAACATCTAATATTTTATTCAGACTAGAACAAAAATCACAGATCAAAAGTTTAAACTGAGAGAATGTATCATTTTAAGGGAAAAATCTGTTGTTTCCAAATTTCATGGCGTCAACAAATCCCAAAAAAGTTGGGACAAGTCCATTTTTACCACTGTGTGGCATCCCCCCTTCTTCTTACAACACTCAACAGACGTCTGGGGACAGAGGAGACCAGTTTCTCAAGTTTAGAAATAGGAATGCTCTCCCATTCATGTCTAATACAGGCCTCTAACTGTTCAATCGTCTTGGGCCTTCTTTGTCGCACCTTCCTCTTTATGATGCGCCAAATGTTCTCTATAGGTGAAAGATCTGGACTGCAGGCTGGCCATTTCAGTACCCGGATCCTTCTCCTACGTAGCCATGATGTTGTGATTGCTGCAGAATGTGGTCTGGCATTATCGTGTTGAAAAATGCAGGGTCTTCCCTGAAAGAGATGACGTCTAGATGGGAGCATATGTTGCTCTAGAACCTGAACATAGTTCTCTGCATTAATGGTGCCTTTCCAGACATGCAAGCTGCCCATGCCACAAGCGCTCATGCAACCCCATACCATCAGTGATGCAGGCTTCTGAACGGAGCGTTGATAACAACTTGGGCTATCCTTGTCCTCTCTGGTCCGGATGACATGGCGTCCCAGTGTTCCATAAAGAACTTCAAATCGTGACTCATCTGACCACAGAACAGTCTTCATTTTGCCACACTCCATTTTAAATGACCCCTGGCCCAGTGCAAACATCTGAGCTTGTGGAGCTTGCTTAGAAATGGCTTCCTCTTTGCACTGTAGAGTTTCAGCTGGCAACGGCAGATGGCACGGTGGATTGTGTTCACTGACAATGCTTTCTGGAAGTATTCCTGAGCCCATTCTGTTATTTTCTTGACAGAGGCATTCCTGTTTGAGGTGCAGTGACGTTTAAGGGCCCGGAGATCACGAGCATCCAGTAGAGTTTTGCGGCCTTGACCTTTACCCACAGCGATTGTTCCAGATTCTCTGAATCTTTTGATGATGTTATGCACGGTTGATGATGATAACTTAAAAGTCTTTGCTATTTTACGCTGGGTAACACCATTCTGGTATTGCTGCACTATCTTTCTGCGCAACAATGGTGGAATTGGTGATCCTCTTACCATCTTGGCTTCTGAGAGACACTGACACACTGAGAAGCTCTTTTTATACCCAATCATGTTGTCAATTGACCTAATTAGTGTTAATTGGTCTTCCAGCTGTTCATTATATGCTCAATTTCCTTTTGCCAGCCACTTATTCCTACTTGTCCCAACTTTTTTGGGATTTGTTGACACTGTGAAATTTTGAATAAACATATTTTTCCTTTAAAATGTTACATTTACTCAGATTAAACTTTTGATCTGTCATCTACGTTATATTACGAATAAAATATTGACATTTGCCATCTCCACATCATTGCGTTCAGTTTTTATTTTTATTCACAATTTGTTTAGTGTCCCAAATTTTTTGGAATCCGGTTTGTGTATATATATATATATATATATATATATAATATATATATACATATGAGCCAAATGAAAACACTATAAAAATTAAATGCAGTAATTTATTGTGTTTTTATGGTGTTTCTGTCAAAAGTTACAATGTAATTTCTTACAAATAACTTTTTTAAAATTTTATTATTATTTTCTATTAAGTTTTTATCAACATTACAAACGTGTCTGCCAGGGGTTTATTAACAAATGTAATAGTGTTCAAGTATAAAAAAGAACAAGACAATATATTTACACATTATAGAGATAACTTCACATTAAGTTTTTCTAGAACTGAGATGGTTTTTGTTTTCAAGTCCTTTAACAGTGGTGCTGTCTCCGTAAAGTTCCTTGCTGAAGTGGGTTATGCTTGGTTTGGAGTTTGACCACTTTTTCTTGTGAATGTGAAATTTTCTCAGGAGAAGTAGAAGTTGGGTGAAATAAATCAAGTCTTTATCCAGAAGACTACTTTACTTCCGGGTAGACTTTTTTTTGGTCTTTTACATCTTCAAATGTTATTTGGAATCAAATTCTGTTAAATGGGTGGAAAAAATGGCATAACAAATAAAGTTAAAGGTTTCATATAAAATTATTCATAATGTATACACTGTTAAAAAAAAATTCTGGAAAGATTCAAACAGAAAACTGGACAAATAATTCAACTTACAGAGAAAAATATTATATTATGCTTAGACGATAAGGACCTGGATAAAGACTTGAAATAACTTTACAATGAAGTCTGGCGACATAATGACGTCACTCCAGACGGGCTCGCGCCAAGACGGGGAGGAGGGGGAGGGGTTGAAGCGAACGGCGAAAGGGAGGAGGAAGGGAACATCATCATCATCATCATTGCGCTGGCTGTCCGGGGTCACGAACTATGACCTTTAATAGAAGAAAACCACAACAATAATGTTTTTAAAACAGCGGAGCGCCTTTAATTCGTCCCCTTGAGGTAAGTGTCATTTGTGGTTAGGAAGCAGCTGCAGCTCTGTGTGGTTGCGGGGCTGAAGAGAGCTAATCTCCCGCTTAGCTTGTCAGCTAGCCGATGCGGAGCTTCCTCCTGTCCGCCTCCGGCTGCTCGGCGTCCGGGTGGGAACCGAGCAACGCTGCCGGTCGACCGGGGCTCGGACACCTTTAGCTGAGTGTTGAACACCAGACAGCACCGACGGTGTAACCTGTGCTCATCTCTGCGTGCTAGGATGACTGTCACGATGGGTTATGCTCAGTTCTTGCTCACGTCGCGTTTATTTGTTGTGAGTTAGCTTTGATAGCTAACCCGGGATAGTCTGGTTGAACTCGACCCTTTTACCTTTGCCATCCCCAGGACACCTTATGTCACCGCGTTCTATTTTTGTAACAGCTGTTTTTTAGGTTTTGTAACAGCTGTCATACTCGGCTGACTTTAAAGAAAACTGCTCTAGTATTTTAATTATCATTGTGTCTGCGGTATTATTGGCCGGCTGCCATTGTCTCCATTTTGTTCTGTACTGCAATGTGTTTGGCGCAGGGTCGATGATTGACTTGTGGTTTAGCCAATCAATAAACGATATGAATCCGCTCGCCCCTCCCTTCAGAAGTGCGCCGGTGTTGTGGTGAAAAAAGTACCCCTGCAGAAGCACGCCTATTTCTCTGCTTTACAAAGCAGCTATCTTCTGCCGATTCATTAGATGACGTACATCTACAACTGATTAACTTTTGGAGTACTTCCAGTTCAAGATGGCTGTATCAGCTGCTCTGACTGAATAAATTACAGGCATTATGCTAAAATCTGACATTGTTTTAGGTGAGTTATTTTGTTATTTGTTATTTTATTGTTTGCCCAAAAAAAGAAACGATACACATAAAGGAAAATATAAAAAACAAAATGTGCAGGAGAGGTCATAATACCCAAAATGGGCTTACAAGTGGTCCCCCCTCCTTTCTAAAAAAATTAAGAAAAAACTCATAAAAGCTTTATACATAAACTTCTTACTTTAAACACACACATGCGCACCAAAGCAATAGACAATAGCTACATAATAAATTTAAATTGACCAAAAATATTAAAATAATAAAAAACAATACAAATGTGTTTAAAAAAAAATCTATAAACTTTGTTTCAACTTTCTTTTAAATACAGATAATTTGTGAGTGTCATCCTCATCATATATTCTGTGTCTTATCCCACGTCTTTGCATGAGATTACACAAACATATTCAAAGTTTGACCATAAGGGCTGCAATGATGTCATTTTTCAACAAAAACTGATCTTAGTTGAAAACTCTGGTATAAAAGGCAGCAGGTGAGCATTAGGGCTGCACAGTTGATCAAAAATACATTGTCATCGCAAAGGTCTGCAATAACTCATGGACCGTTATATTTCTAGTAACATGAATGCGTTCACGTTATGCATGCTAGTTTTATATCTGGTCAGTCCAAAGGCCTCTCTCTGGTCTTAATACTCACTCCTGGTTTAGATGATAGTGAACGTGATACATGAGGAAATTGTGGGTTTATTGCAACTGATCTTGTCATTGCAATGTTAAATAATAATATTGCACATTGCAAGTTTTCCAAATAACATTCAGCCCAGTAGGCACTATGCATTGCTTCAAGGAATGTTAGACATTACATTTTTAAAGATTAAATTGAACAAATGTCCAAAGTGACACGTTAACTCCTGATTTTAAGCACCTTTATTAACACAACTTTCTAAAATACCTTCAGTATAACATATATGCATTATAGACACTACTTATGACCAGGAAATAGGTACATAAACAAAAATAACTCAATTTACATAATAAAGTTCCCCTAACATAGTTTGAAGTGTAGGTGAACAATGGAAGGAGTAAAGTATTTTGAATAAAGCCCTGGCATTCCTTGAAGGAACGTGTATTACTCACCACCACCTTTCATGTTAAAGGTTTAAACTAAGATAATCTTATGATGAGAGGGTGCAGTTATAGACGTTTTTGTCCAGCGTTGTAAATCACGTATGGAAACATGTGATAGTGTGAATATGTGTTGAGGTTTACTCACTACTGTCGCATTACAGCTCAGTATCTATAAATTCAAACTGGCTTACACAACAATGATTATACTTAGGGTGGATTAGCTGTGGCAGCCATCTTGAATCGGGCTGACTTCAATAGTCAATTAATTGTAAATGTACATTTCATAGTTACTTTCTGAGCATTCCATCCTCTAGTTCATGAGATATCTTGCTAACACAGTAGACATAAATAAAAAGACAATATTTTTGCTTGTGTCTGTGCATGTGTTTGTCTTTGGCAGCAGGTGATAAAGATGCTCATAAATGTCATAGTCACTTGCAATTGATCATATTTAAACATCATGAATTAATGTGTTGGATATGTGTAACCCATCTTTTCACTCCAAAACTGCAAAACAAAATAATCAAGACTGAACCAGCGCTGTTTTAACGATACAGTTTTGTGATTGCTGAAATGTTTGTGGTTGACGAACGCCTTTGACGTTCTTCCAAACAGGCCTTACTAATGACTTCATACCATCATGAGAACCAGCCTGAATCTGCTCCCCCAGCGGAAAGCAGACACTGAGCACAAGGCAGAGGTGCGTGCAGAGAAAGGCTTTCATGACGGTTTCCTGTAGTAAACTGAACATTTGCATAGAATAATTTTCAACTGGAAAAAAATGCCTCTCTGTGCTACTTTTTGGTTGTATGTATACCTTTTGAGAAATACCTTTGTGATCAGCTCCCGCTTGAAATATCACAAGTGAATATAATGCTTCATAATTACATACGCATTAGAAATACTTACTTGCATTGTATACTTGTAACTTAGATCGTCTGTGTCTTACTGGGTTAAGGGTTGTCCCCTTGGTCAGACTCAGTGATGAGTGAGTCTCCGCAGCGCTTTAAGGTCATCTCCACTGAGCCTGCCACTACACCTCAGCGACTACAGGTAATCACTGAATTCCCAAATATCAGAGGATGCAACAGTTTTGATGTTGTCGTTTTCAGCACTAGAGTAGACGTCCCTTTAAATCGTGCAACTCTTTCCTGCTCTTTTCTTCAATCACATTCACGCATGCTCCTGGTGTTTTTCTTTCTCTGTTTTCTCCATCTCTCTCAACTTCAGATTGTAACCGACCAGCAGACGGGTCAGAAGATCCAGATAGTGACAGCGATGAACCCGTCCGGCGCTCCAAAGCAGCAGTTCATTCTGACCACGGCTGACAGCTCAGGAGCAGGCAAGGTTATCCTGGCCTCACCGGAGACTCACAACACAAAGCAGGTCATCTTCACTGCTGCAGACAGCCTGATGCCAGGAAGAATACAGGTGCATTTCTCCCACAATGTCGCCCCATAATTGTTCATATTAGAAAGTTTTTGTCTAGAAAATTTCAGCTGTGTTTAAGTTGTTTTAAACCCATTATGTTGACATTGTGAAGATGAAACAAGTGAAGTCTAAAGGCCTGTTTTTCAGATTGTCACAGACCCGGTGTCAATGGAACGCTTGTTAGGACAGTCGGGGGATTTAGGTCGACCTCAGCCAGTGGAGTACTGTGTGGTTTGTGGAGACAAAGCTTCAGGTAATCGAGCCTACGATACACCTAAACCTCAGCACGTGGCGCTTTGCATGTAGTCTAAGGAACGCCTCCTGATGTGCTTCAACTGTTAGTTCAGCTTCATGCTGTTAATACTCTCACCCACATGCTCACAGTCACTCAAAAACTTTGCTTTTATCTGTGTTCAGGGCGTCACTACGGAGCGGTCAGTTGTGAGGGATGTAAAGGTTTCTTCAAACGAAGCGTGAGGAAGAGTCTGACCTACAGCTGCCGCAGTAAACAGGACTGTGTCATCAACAAGCATCACCGCAACCGCTGCCAGTTCTGTCGGCTGAAGAAATGCCTTAAAATGGGGATGAAAACTGATTGTAAGTTTGTAATACTGACTCATTACACACATCGAGTGTTATTAAGTTTAAAGGTTTTAAAAAAGTGAATTTAATCATTTTACCGTAGAGCCTTGGGAGGCTCTAAAAATTGACGTTTTTCTCCAAATAAAAATATTTAGTGCAGCAAGGAGGACCGGGCAGTTTATTGACTGATTAGTATATTAATTGGTATTTTTTCTAATCATATATGACATCAAAATATTTGGTTGAAGTCAAAGTAGTATGAAGCAGTGTTAGAAAACACATTTCCTACGTACAGTTATGACCTTTTTTTTCCCCACTCACACCACAGCCATGTTTCCCCTTTCTTTTGTGTTTGAGACCAAAATGACGCTTGTTTACTCTTTTGTTTAATATATAATAAGGCAGCCATTTTGCAGTGCTATTGAAAATTGCAGCTGCAGCTTTCGTTTACTACAAAGTGCACTAAAAACTCATCACTTGCGACTGTAAATGTAGCGTTCAGATGTTATACACTATATCATTTGCAGCGATTATGAATTGTTATAACACAATAGATTATGCAGTGATTTTTTAAACAAATTAAAAAACACAAGGACTATATTTCTTGAAGCCACATTTAAATATAAACAGTAAACATATTAAAATAACTCTTAAATTACAGAACAAGATGCTTGCATCAGCTGTAATGCAGCTCATGTTTAAATTATATGCACACATGATACAACAGTGTCTCCACTGTGACTCTTAAAAACCATTGTTTGCTCAGTTTTGCTTCTAGGATATTATTTATTACTAATTTTTAGGTTTCTGATATAGCCATAACTGCATGTTTGTGTAAATGGAAGCAGTGAATTCAGTGTTGTAAATGCAGATTTGTGTCATGAAATTTTATGTCATTGTTAGTAGAGTTATTAGCTGCATGTTCTTTATCTAAAACTAGAAGTATTTTAGCATCACCTCAGATTTTTGGTTTGTATCTCATTGTGTCCTGCAGAGGTTAGTTTATGCAACGTGTAATTCAGCTTATAATTTCAGTGTGTAGTGCTGCTACGGTCAAGTCATTTTGAAATTGATCAACAGCTGTCTATCCCATAGGGCGTATGTGTCAAACTCAAGGCCCGGGGGCCAAATGTGGCCCTCGTTGACATCTTATCTGGCCCCCAAGATGATATGTGAAACGTAAAATACTTCTGTCTCTTTAATTTTTTTCAGTAATCTTTGATTATGATGTTGAAAGTACAACAGAGAACATCAAATGAGACCAAATAAACTCTTGATGTTTGGTATTAGGGCTTTAACAGACTACTCCAGTAATAAACACATCGATTCCTAGGACATCTGTCGAGTTTTTAATTTCATGTCGAGTATTCGTTGTGACTTCATTACGTCGCCGTTAAGTCATTGCGCCACTTGTCACGTGATCCGCACCGGGCGCGGGTTACAAAATGGATTCCTCCAAGCAGACAGATGGAGCGGAGCAGGTCCAGTCTTGACAAACAGGTAGAAATGCATCAATAGAATGGAAATATTTCACTAAAGATTAATCTTCTGGTTCAACTACCGTAAGGAAACAGAAAATGAAACAACTTCCTGACTGTTTGGAGCTCGTTGTGAACCGGTGTTACACCATATTCTGTGACCACTGTATATTGTGACCCTAGGGGGCGGTGTTGCATGCACTGTTGCAGGTCACAGAATATGGTGCAACACCGGGTCCAATGACCAAACCAGAACCAGCTTCCTCTGACCTTGTTTCACAAACAAAAAGCAAAAAATATTAATCTCTAAACCTATAAAAAAATCTATAAACATATTAATCTCTAAAACTAAACCTAATGCGCACCACCGCCAGCTGTGGTGCGGGATGGTCGTCCGCCACACTGTTTTTAGTTTTGTTTTTGACGTGCCGCACGTTTCTTTCACTTTTGCAGCTTAATAATAAAAACTAATAGTTTAGTTTTTCCTGTGACTTATTTGCAGTATGATAAATGGTAGGAGCATAATATACGCTCCCAATGTTTTGTTGGTCTTTTTTTGTAAATAATGACCTTTTTTGCAGTTTTATTTATTTATTTTTGTGTCTTTAGATCCTATGACGTCATCAAGTACTCGAGTTCTACTCGAGTTTTATTATGTTAATGTCGAGTTTAAAAATTATGTAGTCGTTCAACCCCTATCTGGTATCTGATTTGAGTTGATGTAGATTCTGAAATTGGCCCTTAGTTTGAAAAAGGTTTTAGTTTTGACCCCTTTTGTAAATGAGTTTGACACCCCTGCCATAGGGGATTCTCCTTATAGTGAATAAACAATTTAACAGTCTAAACAGTAAATTGTTGGCTTGCTTAAAATTTCTCCTTAATATTATCAGTAAAGCAACTTTATCCAAATCATTTTAATTTTTTTAAAGTGCAGCTCTCTTTAGGTTAATGCAGTGGTAACTGTTGTAGTGAATTTATATGTAAACACAGCTGAAATAAAAGTAACCATGTTAAAGTTTTCTTGTGTAAATAGTTTATTCTGAATGCTTGACAGGGAATCTACATTAATTTAAAAAATACTTCTTAAATGTTGCAAAGAAAAGTACTTTGTTGAAAGTTTAGGACACAACTCCATTAAATATAAAATTATTGTAAAACACATGTATTCTGTTTAAAAACAAGATGTATTTATAGCAAAGATTTGTTATTAGTATAAAATTACTTATTTTTGTTGTTCATATTCTTATTATTATCATGCTCAGTAGAAAAATGTAAGTAGGGTCTGCTTTCTGTCTTTGTTTAGCCGTTCAGAGTGAGAGGAAGCCTATTGACATGACGCCTAGAGAGAGGCACGCTAACTGTGCTGCCTCCACTCAGAAGATCTACATCCGTAAGGACCTGAACAGCCCACTTATCGCCACACCGACCTTCATCTCTGATACAGATACAGATGGCTCCAGGTCAGTGGAAATCAGAGCTACAGACAAACATTAGGCTTGATGTCTTTCAGCTGCTGTGTATAAGTATAAAGTGTGTTTTTGTGTTGTGCAGATCCAGTCTACTGGACCAGGGGATGCTGGTTAATATCCAGCAGCCAGTCATCCAGACTGATGGAACTCTGCTGCTTGCAGCTGACCCCAAGGTACCGGTGTGTCTCATCCTTATAAATCCAGCGTTACAGTACCATAAACATCTTTTTCTTCTGCTGCTCTTTGTCGACTGTTCCTTCAGACATTGATTTATATTGAACTTTGGAGTAATGGCTGGTAGCTGACTTATGAGAGTGAAAACTTTGCCTACAGATGGATTCTGGACACGGAGACCTGGGGACACTAGCCAGTGTTGTGACGTCGTTAGCCAACCTAAGTGACTCTCTGAAAGAAAACCTGAACAATGGTGATACCTCAAACAGCCAACAAGAGGAGCAGTCTGCCAGCGAGATAACACGGTCAGTTTGTCTTATTTAAATTTAAGCTCAGACGAAGTCTTGCTTTTGACAGATTTAAGCTTAACCTCATGTGTCAAGTCGGTGGCTTCTTATTTGTAAATGACTGTGCAAAGACAGAAATCCAAGTGGAATTATGTGAATTTATTGTTAAAAAAAAAGTTTTTAAACAAGTGATCTAATTGTAATTTATTAATTAAACAGTAGGCAATATTTAACCAAGAGTTATTTAATATAGACATTAGAGTCCGACCGAGATGTTCACCCCTAAGAATCTAAGAAAACAGTGAGTGGAGCTGTTTATTTAGCATGGCTGTTAGCATCCATGAAGCTAAGCAAATCAGATCCACGCTACACCTAGACCCACACTAGGTTTACAAGTGGTGCACTGGTCATAAAAACGCCCTTCCCTGTTCATTGTTTATACAGTCACGTATGATGAAGTTCTAATTATTATGGACTGCAGCAGCGTTGTTTTTTTCTTTTGTAGAAAAGTAAAGATTTCAAACTATGCATTTCGTTGAGGATGATAACGTTACTAACACGAATATGTTTTACCTCTATGTTAGATTTATTTTTCTGGATAAAGTTTTACAAGACAATAGCCTATGCTAGGTTATCTAACGTTAGCTTGCTAACTTGAGAGGCACGTAGCTAATGACAAGCAGGTTGGAGGATCGAAGATAATTTATTATTGTTGATTTTAATTTTAATTTTACAGATGAGTTCAAATAAACTTACCATGCTCTGTTCAGCAAAATATGCTACACAGTATTGCTCCCTGCTTCGGCTGTGCTCAAGGTCAAAGTGAAACTTAAAGTGAACGGCCTTGACTTGAAAGTAGTCTTCATGCACCCTCTGCTGGATACGTTGTACAATTATGGCTGGCTCCAGCATTTGAGGGGTGAAAGAAGTTTTTATATTGGGTCATAATGGGACAGTTGTCACAGATACCGATAGGTCCCTAAACGCCTCTGTCGGCCCAAAGTATCGTCCCTGCTCTAATAGATATGATCCTTTTCTCAACATTATGAACTGTAACAATGGGTTGCAGTCACAACCCAAAAAACTATGATGCAGGAAAAAAAAAGATGAAATTTAGATTTGCTATTTCTCATGTTTGGTATTTTTTGTGTGTTACACAAGAGGAAAAGTATTGTAAAAAAAATTAAATAAAAAAATCAAGTTTTGTGTGTTCCTTGCAGTGCCTTTGACACTTTGGCCAAAGTCTTCAACCCATCCGAGGAAAATCTGTCTGAGAAGTCGCATTGCGTCAGTGAAACAACCATCCAGCTGATCGGTCAGGACCAGGAGACGCCTCTCATTGAGGTGGAAGGACCGCTGCTCACAGACAGCCATGTCAGTTTCAAGGTGGGTGGAGTTCACCTTAAACTAATTAGGACAATACATATCCTGTACAAAACATTTATGTCTTAAAATGGGTATTAAGTGATTTGTTGACAAAAGTCTTTTTTTTTTTTGTATATTAGCAATTTTATTTTAACTTCAAGGAATGTAGACAAAGTATTGTAAGAGAAGACTATACTAGTTTTAAAAAAACAAGCTAAGGTTTTGGACATTTGATGTTGTAAAACAAGCCTTCAGTGCTTTTTGGGAACAACAATTGTTGTTGTTCTCTTTCAAACCTCTTGACAGACCTCACTCCGTTCTCAGAGAACCAGGATTACCTTGGTGACCAAAAATGTGCTTTTTTAAAGTTTTTATTTTATTTTGCTTGTTAGTTTATACCTTTTTCTAATGTCTTTCCTTGTCTTTGTTTCTTTTACTTAGCTGACCATGCCCAGCCCCATGCCCGAGTATCTGAATGTACATTTCATCTGTGAGTCAGCATCCAGACTTCTCTTCCTCTCCATGCACTGGGCACGTTCAATCCCAGCTTTTTCAGCTCTCGGGTATGAAAACGTGTGACTCGAGAAAGTCTTTCTGTTGTAAACTAACACTGCAGCCTCCTGTTTCATGTGTTTCTGCATCTCCCAGTCAGGAGGTAAACACCAGTTTGGTCCGAGCCTGCTGGAACGAGCTGTTCACTTTGGGTCTTGCTCAGTGCGCTCATGTGATGAACTTATCGACCATCCTCGCTGCCATCATTAACCACCTGCAAAGCACCATCCAGGACGGTACGGACCAAAGACTTCGTCATCATTTCACAGTAGGAAGCACACGTATAAACAGGAGCAAACAAATGTGATTTATTATTTGGTTATTAGATTATTGCTATTGTTGATTACAGTAAGATCAGTCTGAGCATTCTGCCCAACAACTTTCTTCTTGAGTTGTATCTGTTTGCTCAGATAGGAATGTTGCAATTTTGTTACATATTAACACTGATGGACAGCAGCCATTTAAAGGTGACATGTTTATATCTGTAAGTACCTTATGCATCCATCCATTATCTTTATCCGCTTCTTCCTTTTCGGGTCGTGGGGGTCACTGGTGCCCATGTCCAGCTATACAGCAGAGAAAAACAAAGACAAAATAGGTCGACTCGTGGGCACATTTCTGAGAAACGTAATCAAGTTTAGTTCAGTTCAGCCCAGTAGACCAAATGAACAGAATACCATTTTTTCTGTAAACGTTTTTGTCCTGTCTGTTTTTTGTTATTGTAAGAAAACCAGTAGATTACCTCAAACTGTCTTGTGAAGAGAAACAGAAAAATGACAGCAAAAACAGTAGATGCATACAAGGAAAGTTAAAAAACAGTGTGAAGAAAAGTCTCAGGACATCAAGTTATAATTTAATTTATTTAACCTTTATTTATACAGGTAGTCTCATTGAGTCACGAGGACTCATGTTCAAGAGAGACCTGCTGTGATCATGGGACGTACATCTGCAGCCTGTGTAGACCAGGGTTACCTGAGGCAGCATTATTTATAACGTTAATTGGAAAAAGACAGATTTATGTCCATTCTTGAGGACGTCTGCCTCTCAGATCCAAACTAAGACCTCGTAAAAGAAAGCTCTAAGATCTCTAGGAACCATAGGAAAGTATGAAGTTAAAGAACAAAGAGCTTTGTTTAGAAAAAAATAAACTATGAGCTCTTACAGATGTTGCTGATCATTCAGAATGTCTGTTTAGACAAATTTTAAATTCTGTTAATGTATTTTTACTGAAGCTACTGCTGGAAAAATATGACCTGCTAATCTCATCAGCTTTTGCCAAAATGTAGCAAATTAGCTGAAGGCTTTACAGAAAACAAATGAGAATTATTAATAGTAAAGAATTACCGGTACAACACCATCTTAGAAATGCAAACAACAAGTGCATGGTTTGGCTTTTCTGCCTCATCATGAAAAGGCAGGATGTTAATTTTAGTTAAATTATGAAGGTGAGATGAGGACCTAAATTGCTGCCTCTAAAAAAGTTGTTTTCTTTTGATCTGGCTGACATCTAGCTTGATTCATGCTCAATTATTTTTGAAAAAGTATTCAATTGTATGTATTGGTAACTGTTCATTTGATGAAATGAGGTCAGTTTGCCTCCAGTAGTCAATTCAGTTCATTTACTATATAGCACCAAATCACAACAAAGTTGTCTCAGGGAACTTTACAGGAACATTCACATACATAGAAAAGCCATTTAGTAAAGTTTTCTATCTAAGACATCTAGTCATAAGGTTATAACAGCATAGGATAAGGAATAGGTCAGGAAACCAAGCCGACTATCTATAGGATTTATCAAAAAGGAAAGTCTTAAAAGTAAACTGGACAATGTGTCAGCCTCATGGACAGAAACTGGAAGTTGGTTCCACAGAGAGGAGCCTGATAACTGGAAGCTGTATAAAGTAAAATAAATTGGTCCAAGCACAGAACATTGTGGTACTCCATGACTAGCTCCAGAGGCTGAGACTGATACAGCAATTTGAGCATTTTCTTTTCATTTTCAGACAAACTGTCAGGGGACAGGGTGAAGCAGGTGATGGAGCACATCTGGAAGTTCCAGGAGTTCTGTAACAGCATGACGAGGTTGGAGATCGACAGCTATGAATACGCCTACCTAAAGGCTATCGTGTTGTTCAGTCCTGGTGAGAGTCTTGAACATAATGGTGGATTTTATATCGTTTTTGTTAAAATAAGAGGGTAAATGATCAGTTTTTGTTTTATGGAGTCCAACTGTTGTGTTTGACACAGATCACCCAGGTGTGGACAGCAGCGGACAGATTGAGAAGTTTCAAGAGAAAGCGCTGATGGAGCTGCAGGACTATGTGCAGAAAACATATCCTGATGACATCTACAGGTACAACAGAACCATGTGATTCCAAAAGAGAAAGTCAGAAAGTTAATGTCATTGCTATCAGATGGGACTAAATGAATTTCACCTTGCTCGGCGTGCAAATATTAAACAAACTTAAATAAAACTGTACTTTGTCATGTAGCAGAGTTTGCTGTTAAATAGAAATGTGCCTGGTGTGTTGAAGGTGTAGCACTGCGGTTCTTTTGGTTTTAGGTTGACGCGTATCCTGACCCGCCTCCCTGCCCTGCGCCTAATGAACTCGAGCATCACAGAGGAGCTCTTCTTCACTGGCTTGATAGGTAACGTCTCTATCGACAGCATCATTCCTTACATCCTCAAGATGGAGACGGCAGAGTACAACAGCCAGGACTCCGACTCAGCAGAATAACGTCACTCCCAGCATCCACCCCTGACATTTAAAGGTCAGCGAGTCTTATCTTCAGGTACATTTTTATCTCTGGAGGGTTGTGAATAAACTACAGTCAAAAATACTTCAGCACTCTTTTTTAACAATGTATGGAGCTAAATTAGTTGTGAAGTGTTGGTAAATAAGGATAACTAAGAAAACCAGGATGATGGAAAATGTTTTGTGCAGCTGACAGACTCTGAACTAGATGAAAACAAACCGTCTTCAGCTGCAGCTGTGCTCGTCTCCTTCAGTGGCGTCGTCAAACATCAGTCATCACGCTTGAACTTGATCTCATTAGCCTTTGATGCAAGTCTGTTCTCGATCAAATTAAACCACAACACACTGGTTTTGTTCCCATACATGTGTGAAGACCAGCTTGTAATGCAGATACAAAAGAAAACAAGAACAGACTCCCAAATAAAATGTTTAAATTGAGGAATCTTCCAGGTGCAGGACGTTCGCCTCATTAGAAGGGATACTAAGACCAAAGTAAACCTGGTTTACTTTGAAGCTGTAAAGCATTTATTTGTGTTGGCTTTAGCACATACAGCACTTAACCCGGGCCTCGACCGATCCGGTATGGTTTCGCTTTGATGAACTCGCATTATGGTTTTGGCAAAAGTGTTTTACATCGGATGCCATTCCTGACACAACACTCACCATTTACCCGGGCTGGGGACCGGCACAAGAGATGCACCGGCTTGTTCTCCCTGGTGGCTGGTTTATACAGGACATACAGTATATTGATCAAACTAATGAATGTGCTTAAACATTTAGGCTCCAAAACACGTTTTCTGATTGCCACGTTCTGTAAAAGCACTTGCACATCAAATTAAATGAAAACATGATTTGAATTTTTATTCTCTGACTATTACAAATTGTAGCTCCACAGAAATGACTGGAAAGTCAACTGAAGTTGATTTTAATAAATGTAAGTAAACTTTAAAAGTTAAATCTGGTCCTCTGGACATTAAAAATAAAAATTGTAGAAACGTTTCCTCTTTCGACGAAACGTTTCTACAATTTTTTGTTTTGTTTTGTTTTGTTTGAATGTCCAGAGGACCAGATTTAACTTTTTTACATGTTTCTACCTGGATTATTGAGCATGCATCAGGTTAAGTAAACTTTATTTATGCAATTCCTAAAGTTGATTCAAATACATTGGCAATGATAGCATTAGGCTAGCTAGGTCTCATTGTATTGTTTTTATTAGTACAACCCAACTAATGCCAGTTGTTTGGTATTATACTAAAATACACTTTTTTTATCATGCACATATTTAACTGTGGTCCTCCTGTGTTTCTTGTAATCTGTGCAATCACTTTTTGTCCTTAAATGACAATCAACTATATGTTGTTTCTTTCTGTCCCATCAGTGTTACGCCTTTTTTGTTTTGTTTTCATTGATCACCTTTATTCTCAACAAAATTCACAGAAAAATTTGGGTTCAGAAGTCTTTTTTTTTTTTTTACATGTAGCTATGCTACTATTTATGTTTGTGTTGGTGTTTAGCTGCACATTAATCAGCTCTCTGTGGTGTCCCACTGCATTCGGGCTGACTAAACTTTGTTTTGTATGTTTTCTAAAAACATTCATTTGTTGTAAACAGATGTGTAATAAGTGTACTTAAAGTGCTTTTGGGCAGGACCCCTGAATTTAAAATACGAGTGAGATTATGAGGGACGCCAGCCTTGAGTGCAGTGATGTCTTGAAGACAATATTGAGGATGCATTGGCTTCCCCTCATGTATAAATGTAAAAAAAGCATCCACAGCAACGTGAATGATGATAGGGGTGTAAATAAACTGGGATTACGTCTTGTGAAAAAAAAAGTCAATTGTAATTTTGGGTTTAAAACCCAAATAGGCTCTTTGTAAAGCACTGGTGTGAAGATTTGTACATGTAATGCCATTAAACTGAGCGCATGTTGTTTTTAAACAGGGTTTTATATTCTTCTTGTCAGCCCTAATGAGGAGCATTGTTATCATTTTTATAGTGCATTGTTTTGCATGAAGAAGTTGCTTATGCACATTTTATTAGATGCAGTATATAAAAAATGTTGATTTAAATGTTGTGGCTTTATAAAAAAACAAAAAAAGCAGGGGCAGTTCCAGCATTATGTTTTGTGGCTTGGGTATCTCTTGGTTAACATTTTATACTGTAAATGTATTTTCTTTTTCTGAGATGCTTATCTTCAAATGTTTAAACGGAGAAATTCAAACATTAGCTTGTCGCTAAAGTCAGTCACAGTCCTACATTTCTACCTCACAGATACAATCAAATGTATTTATGACTGGGTTCTTGTGTCAGCATTCCAGGCAGGCTTCCCTGAAGTCATACATTTTAAACAAAATAAACAATTATTCATGAAATACAACACGAGTGATGTTCACGTTTTAAATGGATTAAAACTTTTTTTTAGGTCAAATGAATATCTTGTATTTAGAAAGTGTTTGGAAGAATATTTTTGTACCAAATAGTTGTAGTTTATCATTGAATACATTGATAAATAGTTCTGTTTATTCTTGGTAGACTTGTTTTATATGAAGAAATGTTTCGGCAAGAGAATTTTTACAATTTTAGTTTAACTTGGGGTTTTTTTTCTTTAGCAAAAATCACGGGTAAAAATACAAACATAAAAATACGTGTATGTAATTTAATTCAATTCAGTTTATTTAAATAGCACCAAGTCACAACAGAAGTCATCTCAGGACACTGAACAGAAACATTCATGTACTGTACGTGAAAAGTACGGTAAGTTAACATTATTTATCTGAGGAGCAGACTGCTTTGAGTTTAACTCCATCACAGACTCTCGTGTTGAGCAAGCATGAAGGAGACAGTGGAAAGAAAAAACTCCCTCATGAGGAAGAAACCTCCAGCAGAACCAGTCTCAGGACAAGCGTCATCTGCTTCAACCAGTTGAGTTTCGGAGGAAGTGGAAACAATGGCAGGTCAAGAATCACATGTTAAGATGGAAATGGTATCAAATGAAAACTATTCAATTGTAACAATTAATTTTAAGAAATTGGGTCAATTTGTCATCTAGTAGTTTTATGGCAGAATAACCCTAAATATAGGATTTATCAAAAAGAAAAGTCTTAAAACTGGACAATGTGTCAGCCTCATGAACAGAAACTGGAAGTTGGTTCCACAAGAGAGGAGCCTGATAACTGGAAGATATTCCTCCCATTCTGCTTTTGGAAACTCTAGGAACCACAAGTAAACCTGCAGTCTGAGAGTGAAGTGCTCTGTTAGGAAAATATGGAACAATAAGATCTGTAATATAAGATGGAGCTAGGTTGTTGAGAGCTAATATAATTGTGTATATAATATTGAGATTTTAATTTAAGAGTTATTGTCATTAAAAATTGTGATTTTAAACTATTTGGAATTTAAGAAAATGAAAAATTTCTTAGCTCTTATTTTAAAACGCCTGCCTTCATATTTGACGATTGTTTACTTTGTTCCAGACACTACCTGCGCTCGAACCAAATCTTAAGGATCACTACACTGAAACCGACCGTCACAGAATGACAATATTAAGATGTTACGGGTCGTAAAGCAAATTTCAATTAATAAACTACAAATACCATTGAGCCTTGGTCGCGGCGACGTCATCATTTCGCGCCATCGTGTGCTTCTTGAATCCGGGCGCACGAATAGGCAATAGGAGATATTTAGTAAATAAAACGGCTTCAAAATGCCCATGAAAGGGAGATTTCCGATCAGAAGGACTCTTGAATATCTCCAGAAGGGCGACATCGTGTTTAAAGACAAGGTGAAGATCATGACGGTGAATTACAACATTCACGGAAAGCTGGGCGAAGGAGCAAGGTCAGAGACGGCTTTACATGTTACTGCGAGGAAATCACGTGTTGCTAAAGAGGAGCACTCGGCATGTACCAGTGGCTAACAGAGAGTTTGGAGTGTTTGAGGTTGCAACGTACAAGAACCACTCGATTCTTAAATGCAAGATTTATGATCGCAAGGGTGCTAACACGTGCTAAACAAAGCTAACGCCTCATAATAACATGAAGGATTCATTTGGTGTTGAAGTGTTAAAACTCTCATTTTGATCTGCCTCTTTTTGTGTTTTGCAGAAAGTTTGTGTTCTTCAATATTCCCCAGATCCAGTACAAAAACCCGTGGGTCCAAATCATGATGTTCAAAAACATGACACCGTCGCCTTTCGTAAGGTTTTACCTGGGTGAGTGTCCTGCTTGTCATGTTGTCATCTGATGGCATGAGATGTAAGTGGACCTCTGCCTCTCTGTCCAGATGATGGTGAGCAGGTGTTGGTGGATGTGGAGGGGAAGGACCACAAGGAAATCTCACAACACATTAAGAAGATTTTGGGCAAATCAGAGTGAGTTTATGGAGATGATGCTTCGTGATGCCTACAATTTAAAGTGCTGTCGATTTCATTATAAATGGATAAACTTGTGAAAAGCTAAAACTTTTTAAACTTCTACGTTAAGAAGTTTTCTATCAAAATAGCTTAACTGATAAAATCCCTACTTCCAAAAACTACACATTAGGGATGCACGATATTGGATTTTTGGCCGATATCTAGGGTTGGGTACCTTTCTAAAAAAATCTGTGTCTGTACCGGTGTCGGTACCTTCACTTCGGTGTCGGTTCCTGGACAGTTCTTTTTTGGTACCAATTTTGTAATTAATATTAATTCTAGCAAGAAGAAAATTACGTTAAACATTACAGTACAAATCTTGAGTTTTATTTTTTAACTTAGGTATTTTTCTATTCCAAGCAGTTTTCTTACATAAAAATAATTTCCAGTTCAAAACACCAGTTTCAAACCAGTGACACGTCCGTGTCTAATGTTCACTGCTACACACTGAGGACCTTTTCACTTCACAGTTTTTCTTCAGAAACATCAACATGTCTGTTTTCTCTGGACACAAACAAGCTGCTCCTGGCTGATGGTGTCTCCAGCAGTAGAACATGTTCACTCTGAGGCTGTAGATGATGCTTGTTGCACACACAGATACCTGGTTGTCAGTTTGACATATTGTCTCTCACATCCCACCAGCAGGTCACTGGATTCACTGAGGTTAGGGTTGATGCAGACATCTGCACCTCTGTGTCTCTGCCTGAATCTTCTCTGTGGTTCTCTGGGGTTTAGAGCTCTGATCATCTCCCTAATTGACATGAGAACAAAACATCAACAATAACATGGTTGTGTTATTATTGATCACAAAACATCATCTAGGCTGAGAAATAAAAGCTTAACTGTCAGCAACATCCTTTATAGCTTAACTTACCTCCACCATGGAGCCTCCACTGTAGTTAAAAGCAGCAAACTTTTAACAGCAAGGTTTGTGACTGTCCTGTGGCCCCCACCTCACTTTTCTTTTGTCTGTCTCTGTCCTCCTCACATCAGGGTCAGAGGCTCCTGTGAGGAGAACATTAACATAAACAGTGAACATGAGGTGAACTGTTTGACCAGCTGACCGGATGGATGAGCACAAGCTTCATCTATTACTGTCGATCTTTAGTTAGCTTCTGATTTTAGCTAGCTACATATATAAAATAAATTTACACACTAATATCTTAAAGTTAGCGCTACATGGATTCTAGTTTAATTCACCGCAACGTACGTGTTAAGCTGCATTAACGTTAACAAACGTAAACTCACCAGCTGAAACACAGACAGAGCCGTCCTCGGGAGTTCTTTGATGAAGAGGAGTCGGGCCGTGGAATGTTGATTCAGGTCGTTCATGCTCTCTAAAGCCCCCAGTATACTGCCGCGTACGTCCATATGCAGAGGTACGTACGCAGAGGTATGCACGTACATACGCAGAGGTACGCACGTACATACGCAGAGGTACGCACGTACGTACGCAGAGGTACGCACGTACATACGCAGAGGTACGAGCGTACATACGCAGAGGTACGCACGTACGTACGCAGAGGTACGAGCGTACCTCCCAGGGCATGTCCGTGCAAAGCTCAATTTTTACGACCGCATACGCGTACACGGTGTCGCACAATAACCTTCCCAGCGACGGACTGTTTTGTATGCGACACCAATGTATTAAATTCCCCTTCTTCATCCCTGATCTGGCCTTTTCTTTTGTTTTTTTGCCAAGAGGCAGTGATCTCTTCCTCCTCCATTGATGCCATGACTGACATGGTGAGAAATGAAGGAATTTGTCACGAGCGAATTAAACTCAGGTCCAGCATGGCTGCGGGAGGGTCTGGAGATTTCCTGTTGGGCTGGTCTGATGTGTGGGCTGTAGAGCCAGTGCTCCCTGTTTTTTTTGGGTTTTTTTTTTTTAGATCTTTTTATTAACAACATATAAACACAGAACACCGCTGAGGCTGCCAGCGCTCGTTTTTTTCCCCCTGACCTGTCAATCAATCCAATAGGCGTGTCAGCGAATGACCAGTCAGCGACCTCAATTTGTCCTGAAGGTAAACGCCCCTTGTCTGTGAAGCTGCTCTGCAGCTGCTCAGGGTGTACACTGAAGTCTGAACCCTCTGCGTACAGTACACGCGTACGCGTGAATGGACGTACGCGGCAGTATACTGGGGGCTTTACACTCGCAGGCTGACTTTAATGCTGAGAGGAGGAGAGGGGAGGCTGCAGTCCCCCCTTGAAGACAAACACGGAGCAACTTTCCGTTCATAAATTGAAGCCGTTCGACAACACGTGCTGCACACGTGAACCCCGTCTGTGGGCGTCACCAGCACCATAGACATACATTAGACATAGATTAGGTACGGCAGCTCTATCCAGCTCTGGGTGTAAACACGTACTCTGTTTGTCATAGTCTGCGTTTTACCTGCCTGCGTGCTGAAACCAAGTGACACGTTACTGCCAATACTGAAACTTGACACCGAAAAAAGAGCGACGCTTCAATCCATACACCGATGGTGCAGTTCGGTCGGTGCCATAAAATAACCTCTGTTCGGTACTCAGCCCTACCGATATCCGATATACTAAAACTTATTGTCTGATAACCAATACCAATATCAATATTTTTTTCCTAGACCTACTTACAGAGACTACATATCTTTCTCTGCTGTGGAATTAAAATACTACATTATTCTGCATGGTCTTTGTCAGTTTGGCCTGATACCAAATTCAGATGACAAAAAGGGGCTGAAAATGATGCAACACTATATAAATGTATAACAGTGCCTTTTATATTGGTGAATTATTTTGATGAAACGGCCGATGTCCAATATTTAACTTTATCGCTAATATCGGCCGATACCATGCCGATAATATCGTGCATCCCTACTAGATATAGTAAAACTTTATATTTACTACGTACTAGTATCAGAGATAGTTGTGTTAAAATGCCTTACTTACTGCAGGACTTCTTCAGATCCGTCGTGGTGATTGGACTGTAAGAAGTCAGCGCTGATTGTGTGGTTTTCAGTGTGTTGAAGCTGTTCACACCTGTTGTTTACCCAAAGCAGTCCCATAACCAAGAATGGATTTTAGTCCCAGGTGTGAACAGAGAGGATAACATGGCAGTGAATCCACAGCTGACCAGAATCTACATCGGTTCAATGAACTGGTGTTTATAAGTTTTGTATGAAGGTGGTCTGCTGCTGCATTCATCTTACTTGCTTCTGTCAACAGACAAAAGTTACAAGAAGAGGCTCAGGCCAAGATGCAGGCTTCCAATCCTGCCAACTTTGGCCTAAAGAGGTACTGTTTGAGGGAGTGCATCTGTGAGGTGGAGGGCCAAGTGCCGTGTCCTGCAGACGTACCACTGCCGAAGGAGATGACGGGCAAACATCGGGCTCGGATGGCTGGCTCAAACCAAGATTGAGAGGCGGATGTTTGTAGTCTGATTGGACAATATGTTGGCTGTTTTTTTTTTGTTTTTTTTTTGAAGATGGATGTTAGTGGACAGACTGGGACTCAACCAAAAGCAGGAGGAACCCATCAACACGACCAATTTGTGCAAATGTACTTTTGATTTCCCGGATCCTGTTAACAGTGACATTATTTGCTGATGTGTCTCTGGTGTTTATTATTCTTTTTTTAATCTCACCATTAATAAAGTCCAGATTCTGAACAGTATGAGATACAATGATCAGCCACCTGCAGGCGAAGAGAGAACTGTCTGGATCCTAGTCCTCTGCTTACCCTCATGTTCAATAAATTATCTAAAATCAACAAAATGCACCAAATAAAATGGTTCACTACCTCAGTGGAATAAAGTCAACTTAGATTCAACCTAATAAAATCAAGCAAGCTGTGACTGATCGGTTTATTTTTCCCACATAAAAGATTGTACAACGTAAATACGAGGTCACCAAAGTTGTGAAAAGAACA